TGCTTTCTTTGATAAGGATGTCGAAGGTTGAACTGTAGGCATTGTTGGTAGTGTTGTACGTACTGGAGCTTTGGGTGCTTGTACTGTTTTCGGAATATTGCTCCTATCCTTCATCTTTTCTCTTTTTGTAAGCAACCCCACCGCATCTTCAACGTTCTTCCACTTCGTTGTCAATCCTTCATCTTCTTCTTTGTCTTCAAGAAGGAGTTCTAATTTCTCTTACAATTCTCCATTAGCAGCTTGAAGAAATAGATCAACTTTGTTCGGCTCCAATGTCAATTTTTCTACCTTCGACAATTGAGAGTACTGCCTCTAAAATTTACCTTAGTAGCTCTATTGCTTGCAAATTCTTATTGGGCCGTTCAATCCATTCCAGAAACAGCTTCTTAGTAACGCGATCAACATCTTCCAAGAAATATTCGTCTTTCAATGCATGTAAAAAAACCTCCCATAAATTCCCATAACGATCCGTAATCGATGTAATGTGATCTCTTATCTCCGGTATCGTGGCAAGTCCAAATAGTTCAACCATTTTCTTCTCAGAAATCCGATTTAATTCCATTTCACGAACATAACATCTTAAATACCTTAAAATATTCCTTCCATCAAATTGATCAATTTTATTGACCACTGCTTGCAATGCTTTGGTTGCCAAAGCTTTCTTTCGATCATTGCTTTGCTGTTGCTGCATTGATAATGAGAAGGCTTGAAACATACTAGCAATAGATGGATCCATGTGCATACCTTGTCCTTTAGAAGAATCCCCACCAGAAACTTCTCCCAAAAATCCTTTAAAATTTTTATTTTCGTTTTCCATAAAATAAAGATAAAATCAACCGAAATCCAATACCTTCCACCTCAAGCTTTCACGTCGGGTTCACCACTTTTGTCGTATTACGTGCTTTCCTGCTCGAGAATGCACCGGGCGTCTGACTGTAGAAGGTAGTATGGAGATTCGCCAATAGTCAAGCAGTCTATCAGTTTTTGACTATTAGAATATAAACGACTGCAAGAATACACCGTAAATCTATACGGATGCTCCTTCGACTGCTCGCCAAAGTCCTTTTTGTCCCAGCCGGTAGGTTTCTAAATGTTACAAAGAACCCTGAACAACTCAAACTGTTAATCTTCGATACCACTTTGTACTTACAATCTTGTATCCACTGACTGTCTTGTTAGATTAACCCAATAAATTTCATTCACTCCGCATACTCAATCCTATAGATACCTTTTTAATTCTTCAATCTCAGACGTAACTCGATTTTAGAAAACAGTCAAGAGTAATCAAACCCACTTCATTAAAAATCTCGATTCACCAGTATAACACTGACTTCAGCAACGATTGCCTCAGTCTTTTCAAAACCCTATGAAGAAAAAAAATCCAATTCTCTGTTTTCTTTCCCCGCCCAAAGCATGAAGCTCCTCTCCCCTTGATCTTCAAAAAAAAGAAACCCCCCAAAAACCTCCTCTATTCCTAACCTTATCCTCTGAATTTCTTCAATCTTCCGTCTTGGATCCAAAATTGGCTCCCATCGTCAGAGCTTAGATCCGAAATTAGCTCCCGCCGTCAGAGCTTTCTCCTCTGTTTTTACCTTTAAGAGATCCATTTACCGAAAACAACGTTCCCTGAAACGGCACAGAGAATAGGACAGCCTGAAATAGAATCAAAACCCCGTACTCGGATCCACATTGAGTCGCCCGACCAATTCAGGTCTCATATTGAGTAAGATGCCCGTAGTAACGTGGATGTTCGCGTAATTGGGTCAAATTGGTCCTCGCGTCAGATTGGCTAAGAGGCCCGTAGTAAGACCTAGATGTTCCCATAATTGGATCAAATTGGTCCTTCGCGTCAGACTGGCTGAGGCCCGTAGTAAGACCTGGATTTTCCCGTAATTAGACTAAATTGGGTTGCCCGACCAATGCAGGTCTCATATTGGGTAAGAGGACCCGGATTGGATTCTTGAAATTGGATCCAATTGGCTCTTCGAACCAGGCTCACCCGTCGTGTAAATTGGTCCTTTCTCTTCCTGCTGACTCCCGTTATTGGAATCGAACGGAGCATTTCAGTATGCCCCGATTGATTGTAACGAGGTGACTGAACCTGACCACTCAGTATTTGCACTGGAGTTGGTTGTTGCTCCCAATATTCGAGGTAACTAAACATTAATAAAAGTCCCCTTTCTTTATATTTTCACGGTATACTCGTGTTACAACACGACAACGGTTCTCAGATCGAAATTCAAAAAGGTGATTGCCGCACTTCACAACAAAGTCAATTGCTTGACTCAATGTTTGAGGATCAAATAAGTTGAGCATTAATTTATTTACCTCATATTATAATCCGTAGAGAAATTGGCTAATAAATGCAACATCATCCCACTTGATATCAGTTGCAAGTTGTCGAAATTGTGAACCATACAACGTTACTGATCGATTGCCTTGTCATAAAATATGGATCTTATTGGTTGCAACACGAATTGCATCATGTTCTCCATACATGGATCGAAACTCTGCCAGAAAAGCCTCTAGATTATCCAATATTGGATCTTGTCGTTCAAGAAAAGATGAAAACCACGATAATGCTGAACTTGAAAGAAGCATACCAATGAATCTAACTTGCGATCTTGGAGTTGGATAGCTTTGGGGTTGAAGTTCAATCACAAGTTGTACTTGATTGATAAATCCTCGAAACTTGGATCTGGTGCCATCAAACTTCTCGGGTAGGGCAATTCTTGGTTCTCTAACACTAGAAGGGCGTTCCACCATAGGAGAAAGGACATGGTTTGGTGCAGATGTTGAAGCAGCTCCAACCATTTCTATATCTTCACTTCCTGCCAATCTTGTTGTTCCTTGTGGTGGTAAATTAAGTTGCGATGCATTAAATCCCTCAATTGTTCTTGCATCTGTGCCATTGAACTCTTCATTTCAAGAAGTTCTGCCATGATAACACTTAGAAAAGAGAAGATGTCTAATATCGCTCAAGATAAATAGAAGAGAGGACTTGAGAACAAAGAAAATACTAAGGACAATATCAGTTTAGAAGAGGGTAATCCGTAACTTCTAATATGCTTATATCTTATCAAGAAAAAGGGGTAATCCACTCTTAATCAAGATTAGACAAAGCTCTGATATTGTAGGTGTACTCTTGTCAATCTGTCAAGGACAAGAACTCGATGAAAAAGTAATTTAGACAAGTGAGCCTTCACTCAAAGAAAGGTAACAAAATATAAATAAACAAGTATGTATATTGAAAGAGAAATTAGAATGGCTATTGCCAAAAGACAAGAAAACTAGAGACCCTTGAAACTAGACTAGAAGCAAGAAAGGAATTGTCAAGAGTGAAGAAGGCTTCATTCTTGTCTCTATATATACTATCTAATTAGGGGCTACATGGCGATGTTCTATAGGACCTCTAATATGTGTTGACTTTGTAGGACACATGCCTTGACTTACAGGGCAAGTTTTTCTACATGTGGGCCACATAGTTAGCTTGATCTTCAAACTAACAACATGTGTGGCACATGGCCAACTTGTTGACCACGTTTCTAATCCAAAAAGTCAATTAAAGACACCTATGAAGTCAAAGCAACATCTATGAAGCTTCTAAGAAGCTTCCATATTAAATACTATAGAATTAACTTACTTTTATCTACTTTTACTTACTACCACCTATTTGTATATGTAATTACTAGCTTACATGAGTATGTCCGTGACACCAACTTTGTCTAGATGCCTCCATAGGAACTTGATGTTATACCTTCTTTTGCAACTCTTCTTCCAACAATAGAATAATCAAGAAACAACAAAAAGGAAAATAAGAAATGTATGGACAACAAACAAGAAGCAATAAGCAAACACAAGTCAATCATGAAACACATACCTTCTCAGATTCGAAGAAGCAATGGAAGAGATGCGAAAGATCTTTTCAACAATGCAACACCAAAAAGGAGATTGAAACCCTATATTTCTCACACACATCCATTTTTAAAATGGATGAACTTCTACTATGGATGAAATTTAATTTGAGGATGAACATTAGTGTACTAGAGGGAGTATTGGGAGAATTATACTATATAGTGCACTTGTCTCTTGTATATACTGTATATCAATTGATCATATTAATAATAATATTGTTTCGTCATCGTTTCTGACCAAATCGTTTCGTATGAGCCGAATCCGTGGGAGGCGGTGGTCAGAAACGATGACGATGAACATGTGAAAAGCTGTGGGCGGCGGAGGCGCGCCACTCCTTGGGTGGAGACCGAGAAGGAAAGAATGAAAGTCTCATGTTGGAGACTGGTTGAAGCCCATTGCTTGCTGCTGTCGGTGCTGGTTCATGGCACCGTCGTTGGATGTGTTCATTTGTAGATACAATTCTTCCATGCAGTTGTCGGCTCACGTGTTTGTGTACACATTGTACATGCGCTTGCACAAGGTCGGCACGACCGTGCGGTTTCCAAGCTTCGGATGGTGATGGTATTCCGCCAGATTCACTCTTTCAGTATACATAGTAGCTCGAATGCATTGAATGCATGGAGACTACAAATCGCAGCAATCAGTGTTGCATTCTTGAACAAGATGTACTTTTGAAGTAAATGTATGAAAGCTAAGTTCCGTTTTTTTCTTGAATCATTCTGTTGTAGTGGTTTGGATGCACATGTTGTACTCACAGTTGATTTCACGAATTAGGGCTTGTATGATTGATAAGCCTACACAACACAGACATGCATTGATGAGATGGATCATATCGGCTTTGAAATGTCTAATGAGAAATTCGGAGTGACAGGAATGTCCTTCCTCTAGAAAACTTCTTCTACCATCGACGGTGGAAACAGGAAGACAACACAGTTGACGATTGAGGGGAGGAAGAGAAGATGAGGCGGTGTCAAAGTCAACTGGGACCCACTTTGTTTTATTTCTTTTTGAAAAAACTGGATGTATGATATAGCGATATGAACCGCGGTCGAGGATCGGTCGTCGTGAGGACTCTTCCAGGTGAGTGCTAGAGCATTTACCATTTTCCGACTGACAAAGGATGGCTTCACTCCGCTCTCCCCCTCGCTTGGACCTTGCGCTCGTTTCAGAACTCGGGCTGCAGACTTTCCGCATACACTTTGGCATCTGTGTAACCAGCATTGCGGCCGCTTGCGTGGTTTAGGCAGACTGCAGTTGTTGCCGAAGCACTCGAACGATCCGAAGCGATGGAGGGGACTCCATTCGATCTCAGTCGGTAGTTTCTGAGACAGAAAGTAGGGTTGGCGGGAGGCGATGGAAGCGATTCAAGTAATCTTGCGTCGTTCGGCCATCTAGTGGGGCATTTTCCTGGGGTCGGTACTTTGGGTCCTGCTCAGTATCGCGTCCCTTGTCTCATCAGTTGTTTGGAACTTCTTTACGGGCGTGGTCGGTAGTGTACTCTTTTCCGAAAGTCGAGATTCTTCACCTGATACTCGAACTTACAGATCTCGCGGTAGCGGAAATTCCAGCAAACATGGATGTGGTTTATGTCCAAATCACGCTCGAATGGGGCAAGGAAATCAAAGCAACCACTCTCCTGGGTAAATCATGCAATTTAGTGATTTTGTCGACAGCTGCCTTAAAATTCTTTTTCTCGCAAGGATTTGCTTTGGTTGATTCTGTCTACTTGACAAAAAGCAATGTTTGTCCTGGGGAAATTTGTAGCAAGGGTTGAGTCGTCTGGTTTTGAATCTGGTTGCAGATTCTGGTACAAGTGTGTATGCAAAAATGGAGTATCTAGATCTTACATATACGACCGAGAAGGTGACAGGTATGACGTCTTCTTTTGTCCATGCCCGTTGAATTTTTTACCGACTTTTTAGTGCAGGGATTGTGGAAGAATCCCGGTTGCTGTCTAAATCCAATTGATTGGCACTGAGTTACCGACAAATGTATCGGCATCAGTTTATTCAGATCAAGTAATCTCGTTGCAGTAGTTTATGATTTGGCTTATTGCTCTACCTCTAAAGAAAATTGGGGAGATCAGGATCTGACATTCTGGTGTTATGGTAGATATGGGGGGAAATCCTGTTTGGAAAGAAACAAATAAGTTCGATTTCGTCTTCAAGCCTCAAGAAAAGGACTTCATCACATTAAAACTCTACAATAAAAATGACACGTGTATCGGATTAGCGAAGTAAGATTTATGACAACTAATTGCGCACAATCAAGTCTGCTCCCTTTGATGAACCAAATCAAATGAAACACTGATGCTAGTTTTCGCCTTTCCTCTCCGTTTTCTGATTGATCAGCACATAACTTTTCGTTGTAAGATGCCCCTACAGAGTTTCCTATGAGGATATAATGAGGCTGGGGAATGGCCCGACACCCCTGAATGTTCCAGTCTTTGCTAAGAAGATGTATGAGAAGAAGTGCGGGGAAGTGGGCTTAAAAATACAAAGAAAGCAGCAAGAAGTGAGAACATTCAAGATCCAAAACTTCCTTTCGTGTTGACGTGCCCTTTTCATGCCTTTCTATGGAGTACTGTCTATGGACTTTACTCATATTCACAGTTAAAAAATTTGTTCAACTTCTGGAACAGACTGCGGGAGAATTGGGCTTAGTGAGGATAAAGTTAGTTGGAGGACATGTCGAGAAAATGACCTCTTTTCTCGGTTAGTTTCTTGGTCTTTCACTTCGATTGAAGCAACTTCATATGTTATCGATGGGGTTTCCGAAACTTCATACTTTCATTTGCCTAGCCTTCGCTTGCGCAAAACTATTGATGGAATACTGAGTTACTTTTTTTTGCATCCTCGTTGCAGAAAAGACAGCTGAAGTCCATGTGAAACTCTTATACGAGCATTTGCAATATAAAAGCGAAGTCTTGAAAAGTAAGTTCAAGACAGATCTTGTCATCTCTAATCAAATAGACTTAATTCACAGTTCGAGGCTGGAAATATTAGCTTACAAACATGCACCTCATTCGCTCGTGAAGCGTAAGTGACACCGTATTTGTGAAATGTGACAGAATCGGGAGGTAAGTTTGTGTGGAGCCAAGATTCCAACAGAAAAGTCTACGCATTTGCAATAAACAACAAAGAGGCTAAGCTTACTCTCCAGGTTTACAACTATGAGAAGTTGGTTGGAAAATGCGAGTAAGTGCAATGTGCTCTAAATGTTTTAAACACTAAACTTTGAAGTGCTGCTTTCGTGTGGTTGGTAATGTGTCGCACTTAAGAAACACTTGTTTTGGTTTTTGTTTTGAATTTCTTTTCTTTTTCCCAATTTTTTTTTTTTTTTTTTTTTTGGGCACTGGATCTGTTGCGATTCAGACCTGGTATATGAAAAATCTTGAGACATCCACTAGAGAACGATTTCCCTTGACCGGCTCGTGCTTTTTTTGTGCAGTATAAAGGGGTCCGACATAATAGAGAGGTCTATGAAGAAGGTGGACTTCCGCGTGAATCACGACAAGTTCGTTCAGCTTGAACCAGAGGATCTTAAGAACGACAAAGGAAATGTGGGGACAATTACTTTCGAAGTTAATCTTAGACATGTAAGTCCACACAAATATGATGTTGGGTGCTACTGATTCTACCATTATCACACTCTGGATTAAACGTTTATAGCTTGCACCTAGGTTTAAATTGCGGAAAAGAAGTCGATGCTCTTTAGTTAACTGCCAGGTTGTTGTCATAGACATCCAAATCGGGTTTTATGCTTGTTTGACGTTACTCTCACTGCCCCTTCTGCAGCCTCTCATTGATAGGAGACAGTCATTTCCCCAATTCCGTGATCTTCCAGATCCTTCCATCAAGCTGCATAAATATCATTCTATTATCACCACACCTCCACCAGACTGGGTGCACGTCCAACCACATTCGGAGGATGTGCAGGTTCGCCAACAAGCAAAACATCACCTACGACAGTTTTTCAGGCATCCTTCGATCCCAGAAGGATCTGATCAAGTTCCAGTTCTGGAGACGGAGCAACATCGAGGGAATACGGGGAATACGCAGGTCGACCATCAAGCAAACCATCACCCACTACAGTTTCAAGGACGACAGTGGCCCTTCGAAATTTGGCTTCCTCCTAATTCATCAAACAACAGATTGCCGCCTAACTGTGGGAAGGCTCTAGATCCATCCGCACCACCTTTTCCAGTATGTGATCAACTTCCAGTTTCGGAACTGCAACAACATTCGGAGGGTGTGCAGTTTCATTTTCAAGACTGTAATCACATACCACAGGTACCGTTGCATCCCCTGCTCCCATTAGGGCCTTTGTTTCTCCCGGAATCTCGGTTTCCTTCTAATCCACCAACCAACAAATTGCCGCATAACCTTGGGAAGGCTCCAGCTCCATTTTCAGCACCTTCTTCAGGATCTGGTAAACTTCCAGCTCCGAAACAGCAGCCAGATCAGGCCACACGATCGTTGCAGTCCCCGATTCCTTTTCCCCCTCAATCTGCACCATCCCATCCAGGATCTGAACAGTGTCCAGCTCCGGAACTGCCGCAACTTGAGATTAAAAAGCATTTCTTCGGAACCTACTTCTAGCGGGAACCCGCACCCTCGGAGCAATCCGCTCAACGTTGGGCCACCCAATGTATCACATGGAAGGACCTTTGAACAGGTGCTACTTGGATTCATACGAGGCAAATATTTTTTTTAACCGTCACTTCTAGATTCTAGCCTTTGGAAGCTTCTTTGGGTAGGCTACGGAAGTGGGAAATTGTCCCTTGTATTTTAATCTTCCGAAAAAAAAAAAAAAAAAAAAAAAAAAAAAACTTTGTATATACAATTCGTTTAGACGTTAACTTTTGTTACACATCACAGCTCTTTGCTGTGTGAGATAATTCTTATCGTTTTTTAATTTAGAATCTTCGCCTAGCTGCCTTAGACCCCTCCATGAAGTGCGCCATTGCAGAATGAAGCTCTTTGCTTGTGTCGGTCGATGCAAGCACGGGTCGAAGCAACAAAGCGAATCATCGGCACCGACTCAGACTCTATCCACGGCCCTCGGTCTGAAATTCTCACCGCACATCTCGGAGAAAGCGATGCGGGTCCATTCCCCAGGAGGGTCTGGAAATTCGAAACCTGGGATCCATTTGGGGTTCAGAACTGTTTCATAATTGACCCACAAGTGTCATTTAAATCGGACAGCAATTGAGCCATTTGTTAGTTGGATGAATTACACTTCATGTTATGTTAAAGAATTATTTTCAATATTAACAATATCTACTTGAACAAATTTAGAGATAATGCCCTTCATTAGTGTTATTTTGGTACAATGTGTTTGAATTTGTGGAAGATAATATATTTGAATTAGTCATATATATACATATGGTGCTGCCAATGCCACCATAATCCACCATCTACATGTCACTTTCATTTTCTGTCAATTCTACATAAAAAAGTATATATATATATATATATATATATATATCTATATATAATATTTATATTTATATATTTTTAGTATTTTTAAAATAGAAATATATTATTAATTATTAAAATGTAACAATGTTCAATAAAAAGAAATACATGGAGCACATGATAGATTTTCATAAACTGTGATATATATAAATGATAAGCAATTAGGTTGTTTTGTTTACAAATAGAAAATGGTCTTAGTCTATGATAATCTCATTTTCTACAAGAGCAAGTAGTCTTGGTATTATGACGAAGTAAACATATCTTGTTGCTAACATAGAATTATGATTATTTCTTGCAATAGATATTTATATTGATCTTTTGTTGTTCTTGAGTTTTTTTTAATTATGCCTTTATTGTTGCCTGAGCTCTAATAAATAATTTGCCAAATCTTTTGCCACAAGATTATTAACTTTTATAAAATCAAAAGTATCAAGTTATAGTTAATAATTATAATTAATATAAAAAATATTTGTTGAATAGAAGAATGTACCATATTATTATAAAAAAACTATATTATTAACAAAATGATTATCTAATCATGATGATAGTTGATGGTATATTTCAAATACTACTCCAAAACTTGATTCACCCATTTTGTTTGTCTATTAGTTTGAGGATGGAAGATCAAAAGAAGTTTTATGTCTACCTTTAATAATTTGAAAAATCTTTTTCAAACTATTGATATAAATTGAGTCTCTTAATTTGCTATAACATCCCTTGGCATTCCATGATGGTAATAAATATTGTCAAGAAAGAGTTCAATTTTCTTTTTACCTAAATAGTTTTTGTATATGGTATAAAATGTGCCATCTTAGTGAAACAATCTATTATTACAAGTATAGAATCATAAAAATTTGGAATTGAAAGATCTATAATAAAATACATAGAAACAAAACACCATAATTGTTATGATATATGTAATGGCTGTTTAAGCCTATAAGGCTAATAAGAAAGAATTTTAAATCTTAAATAAACATCACATCATTTTACAAAGTCTTTAACAATCTTCTAAATTTGAAGCCACAAAAAATTTGTTAATATTAACTCCAAAATCTTAATGTATCCAAAATATTTTACAATTAAAAAATTATAATAAGTTTGAAGAATACATAATTGTACTTCATCTTTTAGAATATATAAGTGTCTTTCAACATAGAATGAATTATTTTTAAACTCAAATTTTGAAGTTTTATAAGATATTAAAGGATTATTCTTAATATCTTTGATATAAAATTTATAAAATTATGAAATATAAAAATGTTATTTTTAATAGTCAAAGATATTTTTATTACTCAAAGAATATATTTCTAATTTAATAAATATTTACACAAATGATAAGAATCTTAAGTATTTCATATCAATATAAATTTTAAATTCTTGAAAAATTCATAGGAGCATATCTTTGTCAAGATTTTAACTTAGAATAATTTATTGACTAAAAAAATAAAAGAGTTTGTTAGATCCCATTTCTAAGTATTTTTATCTTGACTAAAAAAAAAAAAATGGAGCTTATGATTAACAACAAATAATTTTTTTGAAGCTAAAGTAATTTTATCTTTGAGCAATAAAAATAATATTGAATATTGATTCATTATTTTTTAATCAATTTCAATCAAGTATGTCTTCATATTTCCTTACATCTTTAAGTTTTTGTAACATATGAAAAATATGAAATTAATATTTTTTTCCATTCTTAAAATAAATTAAAATATTATTTAGTTAATATACAACAAAATCATCTAAAAGTTCTAAAAAAACATCATTCATTGAATTTTGAAAAATAACTTGTGCATTTGTAAGTCTAAAAGATACTAAATTATATTCAAAATATTCATAATTGATTAAAAATAAAATCTTCTATTTATCTCTTTTTATTGTATGTACTAAGTTGAATGCTTCTTGTAGATCTATTTTTGTATGAATCTTTGTTTGATTCATTTATTTAAGAAGACTTGATATAAAAGATAGAAGATACATATTCTTGATGATAATCGTGTTGAGCTTTTGTCAAAGATATGAACCTCAAAGAATTGAAATGTCAATACACTCTTGTATTACTCAAAAAGACTAAAATATCATTCAAAGATGATATAGTATTAAACTAGAATGGCTATTGCCAAAGTATCACAAATTTAGAATATTGACTGGAAATCTAAAGAAGAAGCTCAAGAAGAATCGACAAGAACTAGATTAATCAGATGAATACAAGAACAACACTAAAGAGGTGAGCTAGAGCTCCAAGAGGTGACTTGTCAAGACTGAGGATTCCCTTAGTCTCGACTCTTATATATACTACAAGCTAGGAAGCTTCTCAAGTAGCTTCCACAAACTAGGAAGCTTCTCAAACAACTTCTACAAGTTAGGAAGCTTCTCAAGCAACTTTCACAAGCTAGGAAGCTTCTCAAGTAGCTTCCACGAGCTTGAAAACTTCTCAAGTAGCTTCTACAAACTACAAAGCTTCTCTAGAATCTTCTAGAATCTTCTACAACTTCCTAGTATATGTCCTTGACATCACCCTCCCCCCTCTTCTTTAGCTTCGAGGTCTCCAAGAAGCACTCTTATTGCGAGTGAGTACCAACATAAGAAGTTGAAAATTTGTCACATAGTGTCTGCAATATACTCCAATTGTTGTTTGCGTGGCTAGTAGTTCATTGGTTTTTGTAACCAACGATAGTATCCTACGCCTTCAATTTCTGACTAGGCATGAACTTCTGTGTCTTCATTGTGAAAATATCCTGCAAACACTCCTTCGGAAAGATCACCATAGGTAGGTTCTACTTCAAATACAATCACTAGGTATCCTCTGTCGTCTTTGTCGTACAGGCCGTTCTTCATCTCGGAGTCGTCTCTATGAAATACTCGGTTGAGAGGACATGATTGGTATGGTATCTATCTCTTGGCTATCCATATCAGATTGAAAAAATAAGCACTACATGGAAGAATGGGCTTAGATTACAGATTTATAGTCTCTAATTATGTCTTTTAGGAGTTTCTTTTTCCCATTCTTTGTAAGGCCAAGGATTAAGAGGCTTCAAAGAGAAGGGACTTCATTGAAAAACTTTCATCAAAAAGGCTTTTTGAGGATAGCATCGATGAAACTCCTATACCTTTTGTAACACATTGATAAGTTTTTTCGTTGGTTTCTATGTGCGCTCATTGATATCATAGCCGCTCCAATGCACTAGATACTCCAATTTTTTCCACTTATGCCGCAAATCTAGTACCTTTTCTACCTCGTATTCCTTGTGGTTATCAATTTCAATATTAGGTGGTAGACATTATACTCTTCCAAGAAAAGACGACTCTTGATAAGGCTCCAACAAAGAAACATGAAAGATTGGGTATACCTTCATAGCAGCTAGTAATTCCAAACGATACGCCACTAGATTGATTTACTTTTGGATGAAAAATAGTCCCAATTTCCAGTTGTGCAACTTATCACATGGCTACTTGGTTTTGATATTTCGTCGAAGCAGCCATACTTTATCTCTAATTTTGAAAGTAGATGCTTGATTTTGAAATTTGTCTATGGACGCCTTTTAAGCTTCTTGGGAGGTTTGCAATTGAAGCTTCAATGTAGTTTGAAGCTCTGATAGTTTCACAAATCCTTTAGTTGTTGGATTCTTATTGGTTGACGGATTCAACAAATCAAGCTTTGGATGATACCCATAGTTGGAAAAGAATAGTGTTTGTTGAGTCAACGTATGAAGGATGTTGTTATATGCAAACTTGGCTAATGATAGATATACAATCTAATCATCTTGCTGATAGTTGATGCTGTATCCTAAATTTTGCTCCAAAGTTTAATTCATCTGTTCCCTTTGGTCGTCAGTTTGAGGATGGAAAGCCAAAGAAAGCTTGATATCTACCTTCAATAACTCAAAGAGAGATATCCAGAACTTTGATACAAATTGGATTCCTCAATCCAAAACAAAATCATCTGGTAAACCATGATATCAATACACACTATGAAGGAAGAGCCTTGTTGTATCTTTACTTGATGATGTTTTCTTGCAAAGTATAAAGTGTGCCATTTTTGTAAGTCGATTTACCACAACAAAGATGTTGTCAAATGAATTCAATGGCGGCAAGTCCGTAAAGAAGTCCATGGAAACTAAAGACTATAGCCAACGTGGAATAGGCAATGGTTGAAGAAGATCATAAGGACGATGTCAAGGATTCTTGGATCTTAGAGAAATGTCACAGGAGAGGACAAAATCCTTGATATCCTTCTATATTTGAGGCCATCAAAAATCTCGAGAAATAAGTTCCGAAGTCTTATTGAATCCAAAAAGTCTCACAGCTAGAAAGTCGTGTCAAGATTGAAGAATTCAGAGTCGTATTGGTCCCTTTCGACTATACAACTACTCCTCAAAGTATAAAAGATCTCCTTCTACCTTGAATTTGTCATTATTGATACGATGCGTGATATCAAGGCCTACAGAATCTCCAATAGTTGCAGTACATACCTCGTTGAGGAAGTCAGCATCAATTGGCACTATAGCAGAGCAAAGCTTGAATTGTTTCAATTTCAATAATATTATACATTGTTGATCAAACGTTGCTTCTTGAATCTTTGGCATTAGATACAATCTCTTTGATAATGCATTAGGTAGTCTTTGTTGCTTTCCAGGTCGATAAGTAATAACAAAGTCAAACTTGGATAGCAACATATTCTATTGAGCTTGACAATGATTGAGAACCCAAGCCGACATGAAGTACTTCAAATTCTTGTGATCCGTATATATGCTCATCCGATACATAGCTTCTTTAAGAAAGTGACACCTTTCTTGGAAAAAATCTACTATTGCAAGAAGTTCTTTATC